ATAGAGTAAGGAAAAATGCAGGCCTCAAATCACTAAACGGTTCCGGAAAGATTTGAATAGGGCATGCGAAGGCTGTCATCAGCTCTTTCAGCTCGAGCGTGAATAAAGAGCAACGGTAATACGGTGATAGTACTTCGGTAAGGAAACGGGCACCAAAGAAACCTTCTTAATTCCTGATTCGGATTTTCAGAACAAAGCAGGAAAAACTTCAAAAACTCAAAATCGTGAACATTCTCCCCTACATTGGGTGCGCACTCCTATTGCAAGCCAGAACAACTACTTCAGTAGTAGTAAAATACTTTGAAAAAAAGAAAAAAATTTTTCTATCATTCTACAAAATGAAAAGAATTCTTCGGCCATATGACACGATAGAACTGTGATACAGTCGGTAAACTGTTTCCAGTGGTTGGCAGTGGGGTGGAGCTGATGGCGACTATTGGCCATTTGGACCCATCCATCATGTGAATACATCAAATTCGAATTTTTCTTGAACTCCTCCATATTTCGGGTACATACTCTGTATTGAATCGATAGCGGTGCTCGATTTAACGGGAGGATAAATAAGTAAACAATTAGATAAACAATAAAATAAACAGACAAGTAAAGAATTTGCGAATACTTGAAAGGGGCTCCTGATGTACGGATTGCTGTATCAACTGCGAGATAGCAAGAATCAGGCAAATTTGGAAGCTTTTCCATGCCATCCCATGAAGTTTTATGTTTATATTTTATGTCTTTTGCTATGCTTATTTACCATGCCTGTTTATGTTTACCATATGCACACGCCTTCTCAAATACAACAGCCATCGACATTATCACAAACATCTCTTAAGGTTGTGAGGATCATTTAGAAGCTCATAGAAGCGAAACAATTTGGCAAAGGGAAAAAGAGATAGTCGGATAAGCTAGCTGGATTCTTGAGGTTTTCAAAAATAACAGCTGGATAGGGGTTTCTTGAATTAAACTTCCTGACATTGGCAATGAAATGACTAATTGAGATTGAATAATTAGAGGGGATCAAAAATAGGCTGCCATGGAGGAAAGACTCGGCCACTTCCATGTATCCCACTCTCCAACTTGGTTCAGCCCTCTGTTTAATACCTTTTAACCTTAGATGAGACAATTAATCAGAGAACTCTCCCATACCCTCAGTTAGAACCATCAATCGTCACCGCCTGATTCTTCAATTGCTCAACTTCATTTCGTGGGGTTCACCTATCGATGGAAAGCGGTGGGGACAAAGAGCAATATATCCTCCCTTTGAAAACACAGAGTGATCTATGGGGACAGTAGCGTACCTGTCATGCAGAGCTCCAATGGTGCCACTTCTTCGTCCATTCGCTCGTCTTGAACAACGATTTCAGCCATTTTTTCAATCTCTTCAATGTACTCTTCTAGAAGACGATTCAGCAACCGTTCTAGGGCTGCCTGAAAGTCTCACCGCTTGGTTTTTACATTTCATATTTCTAGCTCCAAAAAATGCTTTTTTCACTGTATAACTGAAAAAAAACTACGGGGACCAATCCTTTTTGTACGGTGATTTTCATTATTATTCATTTATTGACTTACTTCCTTTTAGTGCCCACAAAGTATATTTGATTTAGGCGAGTGAGAATCAGGGTCCTGTCACGGTTGTAGGATTAGAGGGAGGTCCCTCAAAATGCTTTCGGGGTACTACCACAGTGATCGAGATAGAATAGTTGAACTGATTCAAAAAAATGATAGTCTAAATCCTCTGGAAGACAGCCATGGGTAAAACCTATGCAATGTATGCGATGTGGGAAAGTAAAACACCCACAGGGTTCCGGAAGCTCTGCAAGGCCATACGCCCTCGGAGCTGAGTAAATCTGCACTAACCTTTTTCAATGACTCAGCTATTGCTTTAAGTAGCTTTTCAAAACCCCCGTGGATGAGACTTTCTAAACTCTCCTACATGAGAATGGTTTCTAAATCTCAAACATCAAGATTTGAAGCTAGAGGGAGCATGTGGAGCCATTGCGCCCAGGCTTGCATTTTTTGCGTGTTTTTCCAGCCCCTTGCAGAGTGTTTGAGTGATTCTTTCAGCTTTCATGCTCTCCTATTTGACATGTGTTCCTTCTTCTTTGCTCTTTCACTGTGAAATCACCTCGGAGTAATCCTTTTTACACCGTTTATTTGACTCGGCCACGCTGAAATATCGCCCCAATTAAAGCGTCGGCAGATGCTCGCGTGAGAGTTTAAAATTCATCGGCCCCCAATGATTCAGCCCCTTAATGACTTCATCATTTTATCACTTGGGATCAAAGGTCTAGGACTACGAGCTCAATGATGTAACGTTTGAGAGGTCGCAAAAGACGACTCGTCCAGTTCTCTTTGAGAGCCACGCTCCCAAGGTTGACAAAAACTTTACTATTTTTGTGAAAACAAAACAGCTGAGGTCAGTATTCCCAGGTGGGACCCCGACACAACGAAGTGATAGGTGCCTTGAGCTGAGAGGACAAAGTTTATCTGTTCATAACCAATCAAGTCCTGTGAATCCCTCTTTCAAACTCAGGAGGTTTTCATTCTGCGTCTAGGAACTTTGGCCCGTAGTACGTCTGGCTCTTCTAGGGGTGAATTTATTGTTCTCATTCTATGCCGTTGTCCTTTCTGTCAACAAAAACAGCGTGTAAGCATAAAATGGGGGCTCAAGATAGGAAAGGAAATCGTTGAGCTGCCGATTCTATTAACGGCTCGATTCTATCAATGGCTTTGCCCTATCCAGCTCATTATGGTAATACTACTGGGTGGTTGTGTAGCGCAGAATGGGGTTAACGGCTGCCAAGCTCCTCCACTTGGAAACAAGGTTTACTGGCTTGTTTAAAGGCACAGTTCAGGAAAATTTTGGGGGTATCCGGTATTTTAGAGATAGTGGTAGGTAAGGCCTACACTAGGACAATGGTAAAGCATAAAAGGCTAAAAACAGTGAAAAAAAGGAAAACAAACGGCCGAAAAAAAAAGAGGAAAAAGTTGTTGGACGAGATTCATAATGGGAAAACGGTGGTTAAGTGAATTTTCGCGGAAGTACATGAATGCGACGCCATGTGTGCAATGGCACACAAAACACCCAAACAGCTGATTTAGACTAGATTCTTGAAACTATTTATTCCCCAACTGATATTTCGCTGAACTTTTATGTTTATTCAGTTGTTCTGCACAGAAAGGTGAGTAAATTCCCTTATATTTATATTTTTACGATTAAATGTACCTAAGTTTCCATATAGTACGTTGTTTTATAAAATACATGCTAGGATTTCAATTTTTTTTTTATTTGCAACGCATTTTCTTCATTTGGGGTCATTTATGTGTTCTTGTACAATGTCAAGAACACTCTTTGACTTTCATTTGAAGATTTATGCTCAGTTGAAGCCAATCAGTTGAAATGCAGCCGAATATTAGTACCAGAAGGAGGCGGTCGACCAGCTGACCATTCCTGGCAATTTGCCAATCAGCGTATCGATTTTCCACCAACTTCGCTCCAATGCGAAAGTGGTGAAGGAAAATTCGAGCGCGTAGTCAGCCTAGCGAGGGGCGGAGCCCTGACGTCTCCCAATGTTCCTGCCCTAATTGTGCCCTATTCTAACGATTTTCGACCTCATTCCTGCACAAATGGTATCAGAGGGGGCTTCGAATTCAAACTATATGCAAATCTCCGGAACCACCTTTTCCTGACCTGTGCCTTTAAGTAGGAGTGTAGCAGAAGAAACTGAATAAAAACACTGAAAAGCTCTGTACCTGAATAAGATTGAAGCACATAGATAACAAGGCTAAGCCGATTAGGATCAGTAGAAAGTTGAAAATCATCATATCTGGATTCATAAAAACGATGTCACCCAAGCCGACAGTGCTGGAAAAAAAAGGTCTATAAGCATTTCTAAGTGGGAAACAGCGAAAAACTTTTTCGGGGCCTCGATGGCAATTTGATTCTAAATGAGTAATCCTATCTTGAAATAAGAATAGTTTCCTAAACTAGGGGTAAATGCCTAGAAAATTTATACCATAAATTACTCTCTACAGGATTACCACATCACCAAGGGGGATCGGTAAAACCCCTCGATTTTCTCGGGAAGTAGGAGAAAATCTGGAAGGTTATTCGGGAATGAAAGCTCTTTTCAGAAGAGAATCCTTTCTACTAATTCCTCAACTTCCTATTGCTTACCAGTGTAGTGAAAATACGCGGAGAAAAGAGTCTGTGAGGGAGTATACCGAAGAATCTCCCGGAACGGTACCTTTTTTTGATAAAATCAACAGATTAGGTACAACTTTTTTTGAAAAAAAAGTTCACTGTGCCTTATAGAGACGAAGAAGAAGTAAATGGAGGTCAGGTACCCCCATTCACGTTCCCAATAACAGAATAAGGAGGCTGAGAATAGGATCCATAGGAACAGCATTGATAAGGCGATCGGAATTGGGAAGGCATTCTCTGCGTGAAGACGAGCGTTCATTTTATTCTGAAGATAAGCCAGTTCATATAGAAATTCATGTGATTGGAAGGTGTTTAAGCGAAGACCTGTTGTTCAGGACCAAGTTCAGGATCGCGTTTCTGAGCACTACCATTCTCATAATTACCGTCATTTGATTTGTAAATTCTCTTAAAAGTAAAAACCACGTCAATTATTCGGAAATAAATCCTCCAACTAATCGTTACACCTTACCGAGAAGAAATGCGAAACGGTTTGCAACGATTTTGTGTCCGCAATTTTCCGTCGTGATGACCGTAGTCGCTTGTAAAGTTTGCGACAACCCCGTGACATCAAGCGACCTATGTCCTATAACGGTTTCAAAGTTGAGCTAATTCAATGGATCACTGGTATTGATGAAGTAAAGGGTATGAGTAGAATCCTTAGATGTCTTTAGTGATTAACAGTACCTTCAAGATGATAAGAAATATTGGGATGCCGAATAGGATGTAGAAAATCGAAGCGACTCGACCTGCAGCTGTACTTGTGGCAGGGAAACCGTAACCTGGAAAGCTTCTTCGCTTAGTTGTAGGCTATTACTCCCACTTTTTCAGGTTCACTGCATAAGGAAGAGTCTGGCTAACTGCTATCAATTTCTTCTATTAATTGCCCTATTTTGTGAACTAGGTTCGACTTATGGCCTATAAAGGCCTACAAGTAAAAATAACCGTAATTGCATTCCTTCATTGTATGGGTCTTGTGGTGGTAGCAATAACCTTTCCCTAACTAGACCTTCTTCACTAGTTTGCCTTCTTTCACGAATAAGATTCGCTTGAACATCACCCGGCTTATAAAGCGTTAGGGCCCAGTAAGCCCAGCAGTAGTAATGAGGTGTTAGGCTCATCTCTTCGGGAAAAACTCTTCTGATGCCTAGTCAATATCACCTTTTCGTACGTGAGGTAGCAGGGTCGGAGGTGGCATGTTGGAAAAAGACATCTATCCCATTGGTAAGGCCTGGGGGACCGAAGGCAGTCTTTGTAGGACCCAGGTTTCTCGTGAGCTTCTTTTTATGGAGCTCTCTGGTGGATGTAAACAAGAGTTTAAAGAAATTTTTGATATAATAAAATGCAGAGCTCGTTTTACGGGGCGTGTTCGATCTGCGAACATTTTGACGAAGTTGCTGTCACTTGCTACTAAGCCATTAGGGCTCAAGAATGTTTAATGGAAGGGCTTACAAGGGTGTTTACTGGATTTGATCAGCAACTATTTCATAATGAATTCGACCACAAACCATTTGAACTGAACCTATTGACTCGATAAACTCGATAACTTTACAATGATAGGCAGTTCTGCTTTTTCCTGCTCATTAGGAGCCTCATAATTTAACAAAAAACGTAAGCAGAGGCTTTGACACATTTGTCATATCTGAGATCCCCTCGAAATGAAAATGAGAGGAAGAAAGGACGATTCTGTCAAGGTTGTTTGTGTCAGACAACTAACCGATGGTAGTGTAAAGCTGTCCAGCGTAGAACATCGACCCAAGCCACGTCCATGGAGTGTCTTCTGTCCGTTCATTTAGAACTTCCGTAAGATTAAGATGCTCCAAAAACCAGACCAAAGCCTCTTTCGCATGTTTCAGCTGAACATACCAAAGATCTGGTTTAAAACAAATTTGATACTTATAATCTCTAGTTGTGAACTTTATTGGTCTATAGAATCATCGATTACGGTAATGATCATTACGGTAGCATACATAGATGGTGGTGGATGAGTTTACACAATAATCTGATATCGTTCGACAAAAATTCATAAAATATATGAAATAATTCTAAGAATGGAAGGAAGATTTGAATGTGAGTACTGTAAATAACAGCAAAACAAAGCAGCTCTCCTTATTGCCATTGGACAGCCTCTTCCTTGTAATTAGCTTCATTTTTCGAAATTTTTTTGTTGTTTTCATTTTTTCAGGGTTGTGCTCGGAAATCGATCCCCAAAAGCACTTTCCCGATTGTTTCGGGTCTGCACTCGTAATGCAGAGCCCATTCAGATCGTTCCATGGACGTCGGTGAAAGGATAATCATTGACCATGCAGGTTTGGAGGTAACACTTATGTAAGAGCAAGTATATAAAGTAATATAAATCAATGATATATCCCTTAATATGCAATCAAATAGCCCCTGAACGTAAACGGCATCCATTCTGGAGTGGGTGATTAGGATGAGGTGGAAAAATAAGTGTGAGACCCATAAATCACATGTGGTCCATTAGCTGCAAACTGCCATTTGGTTGTTTATTGCCCGAGGTGATGCTATTGGCGTTCCCCATACAAATTAGTCAAAAATTAATCATCAAGGCGAACAGTTGTGGTTGTGGTGCTTACCTGATATTCCCTATCTGCAATACGAAGTTCCGCATCATGGCAGCGTACTTCCAACATCCGGTCCAACACCTGAATACAAGGTCTTCATCCAGTACTTTTCCGGCAGCTGTGGAGCAGAACGGAGATGGGGCTGGAGGAGTGACATTGGCCCACAAGGAATTTCAGGTCGTCGCCCAGGAATCCGGTAAGGGAAAGGCTGTGTATGGATGATAAGGAAGAAATCAAGTCTTTTGGTCCAGAAGAATCCCGTTAGTGGATTGCGCCTTTCTCTACCCCCCCCCCCTTCCCCACCCTCTCCCCAT